CAAAGAGAGATTCTGTGGAATCTGGAGGAAGCATCTCCGAAATTCAGTGTGGCTGGGAGGCAGCGCCTGAGAGAAACTGCCTTTCGGGAACCAGGTTCCTAAATGACTCCAAGAAATAATGACTTTCATCTTCCCGTCCCCTTGTACAGAGCTGTCCACACTTGCCGCCTTCTGTTTCCCAGCCAAGACTTCACTGGGAAATTAATCTGTGTATATTTAACACTTCCTCTCAATGCATTGTTCTCTGGGAACCGGCAGATTCACACACAACCTCAGGCAGGCCTCTGGGTTCATTCGGCTTAGCAGGTTTTCAGATGACCACAAACAGCTTCCCAGCCTCCCTTCACTGCTTAGGCAGGAGAAGATCACAGGCAAGAAGGATGGATCTCCATCCCGTGTGTTAGACCAGGTGGCTCTTAGCAGCTGGCCCCACTCCATAAAATTCAGGCTCCGTCAGAATAATTGCCTATAAACATCTTCTTGCAGTCAGTGTTTATTCTCCTATTGTCTGCTGGGAGCCTGACATACTCAGCTGAGTGTCTGCTTTGGCAAAAAGTCTGAGTTCCAGGCTTCTGTCATGTGTTCTCTGAGTTACATCATGTTTTCATGGCATTGCAGACAGGCCAGTGCCCAGTGGTGGTGACCCAGGTTCCCCTCAGTTACACACAGATGTACACTCGTGGGTCAGCTCGGCGGGAGCACCCCTTTGTTGGTGCACACCGTGTGCCAGGCATCAGTACCTGATGGCTGAATGCCCAAGGCGATTCTCAAAGGTACCTGGAGATTGCTCCTTCCACAGACTTTGGCAAACCAGTCCAGGATGTCAAACTTTTACAGCTCCCTCAAGCCCTCTTTTGATGGAATCAGGGCATGGGTAAAAAATGTGTGTCTTTGGCCTTCCAATACCTGTCATTGCCCCTCTCTTAGCTCCTACCTCCCTGTTTTCTTGTTCTTCAAACTCCAGACTTCAGTTTTCCAAGCGCCCAATCTCACCTGCCAACCCCAGAGGGCCCAGACCTCAGAATTATAACAGAGCTTCAGGAAACAGAAGAGGTACTCGAAGTGTTCTTTGCATAAAGCACTCTGTTTGAGAGAAGGGAAGGAGGGAGGGATCTGTTCTAAAAAGATGCCCACAAAGTCCAAGTGACATGAAGAACCACACACATTTCAGAAAGGTGCAGGGCAGGGATGGAGGTTCTAAGCTAGAATTTGGAACGTCATTTCTGGATATGCTAGTCTTTTTTCGTTTATCTTAAGGCCATCCTGGGATAGTGAAAATCAAATACTTGTTAAATTAATAATTTTACATTGCCAGAGGACAGGTTGACATTTCTGGAAGAAATCAAACAATAATCATATGGTAGAAAAGCTTCTGATTTTACCCATTGATCATGAATAGGAGACCTTTTCTTTTTTCTAAGTCATGGGATTATATTCCATTTCTTCTTTCTCAAATGTTGATTTGAAATTAACAGATTCTAATGGTGGATAAGAATTCTCCTGAACAGAAGAAAAAGGGATTTGGAAGTATGAATTAGCCAGGAAGGTGCTGGAAAAGTTAGGAAAGTTACTTCAACACAGGTAGGGAATGCGGGGCCATGGCATTTAAGGTGATTCAAAGAATTACAAGAAAATTACCCTCTGCCCAAAAGCCTCTTCCTCACCAACTTGCTCAAGTGTCCATAATTCATTCATTACTCTTTGTCTTTGGGATGACCTTAGAAAATTCTGTGTCCAGGAAGGAATAAAATAACCTGTCATACAGTTCCCTGAAGGCGTCAGGGTCTTATTTATTGCTAGGAAGCCAGGGGAGAGACAATAGGGAGATGGTGCCGAACTGAAGATAAACTCCTCTTGCTTTGTAGTTTTGCTGAGCGTGGACTCTGCAGGAGGGGATAAAGTACTCTCAGTCATGGAACCTGTCAAGTTCTCGGAGCTTCCATGAAAGCAATGATGGGAAAGATATTCAGGAGCTTCTGTTCTGAATCCATGGGCCAACCTTTTGGGTACTGACAAGAAGGTCCCTGCGGTACAACCCCTCAAGCTGTTCAGTTTTAGTACAAAAGGTAGAGTCCCAAAACTATTTTTAAAGGAACTGCCCCCTCCAGGTGAAATCTTTTCAGGTTGTTGGGAAATGTCCAACAGGCCCAGGATGACTTGGACATGAAAGGAAATTTTTTGTTGATTTTTTCCCCCCAAGGTGATGTTTTGTCCTGGACACAGGATCAGGGTTGTTGAGACGGCTTGCTCCTCTCACCCCTAGAAGTTGTCCTAGAACAGTGGCACCCGCAATTATTAAAATGCAAAAGCAACTCAGGTGACCTGCTGTAGTGCCTCGTTGTGCAGATGAGGGAACTGCAGTGCTGGGAAGGTAACAACTGAAGAAGCAGAGCTGCCCGGAGAACAAGGCAGGGGCTTGGCCGGCAGACGGGGCTTGGCCGGCAGACGGGCCTGGGCCGCCCGCTCAGCAGTTAGGTGAACCTGGGCAAGTGGAGCGATGTTTCTGAGCCTCCGTTTCCTCTTCTGTAAATGCTTCTTAGGGAGTTCCTACTCAAAAAATGAACTCAAAACTTGGCCAGTATTATTTTATTTGCTATCCTTTTCTTTAATTGAGGTATAATTTAATTATACCTCAATTAAACAGAAAATTCACCATTTTGAAGTGGGTACATTCACTATCTTGTATAGTCATCACCACTCTCTAATTCCAGAACATTTCCATCGCCACCCAAAAATGCCTGTACCTATTAGCAGTCAGTCATGATTTTCCCCTCCCCCTGCAACGTGGCAACCACTAATTTACTTTCCATCTCTGTGGATTTGCTCTGTGGATTCTGGGCATGGCCCAGAAGTGGAATCATATAGATGGTGTGGGATCTTTCACTTAGCATGATGTTTCTACGCTTCACCCAAGTTGTAGCAGATACTTTTTCCTTTTTATCGCCAAATAATATTCCATCACCTGGATATACCACATTTTGTCCATATATTCATCAGGTGATGGAAATTTGGGGAAATTACCATTGTTTTACACAGTTGGGCCAAAGGCAGAACTTTGGGTATCTAACCCTCAACCTGTTCCTGTTTTTCCTACTGCACACTGTTATTCATAATGTCTGAGCCTGTGCATTGTATTCACAGTAGTGGTTTGCTCAAAGAAACCCTTACAACCTGGCTAACCGCTGTTAGGATTTTATACCTTTGTAAGAATTTTTCCATTATGAAAAAAGAAACCACAACAATCCAAGGAAATACAAACCTAAACGTTGTAGAAAAGTTATGCTGAAAACCAGTTTTAATTTTCATTTTTTGTACTCGAGTGGACTGGGCTTTATACCTCTTCATCCCACTGTATTTTACAGAACAACCTGAGTCTTAAATACAGTATCTTTTATCTACTTGGGTTTTATGTGTGCATTCATTACCATAGTTTATAGCCCAGGATCAGAGTTTGTATTAGCTTCCATTGACGTTTAAAGGCCCTTCTGTTTTGTTTACATTACTGCATGGCACGCTCAGAATTGTTCTCTTTTTCAGTTAGACGGTCCCTGTCATTGCATTAGGTATGAGGAATATGTGCCTCTTGGCCCAGAACTTAGTATTAAACACAGCTGGTTGCCTCTCCTTACCACCTGGCCCCCTTCCCATACGCTGCTCGCTCCGGCTCTCAGGTCTGGTTTTCAGGTCTGGTTTCCAGGCCCGGAGGGAGCAACGCTGGCTTGGTATGCTTGGAAAAATTGTTTTCACTTAATGAAGATGAAGGCCTTCTCTTGGTGGGCGCATGAAGACGAGGGGCAGATCTGACTCATTTAGGAGTTGGTTGTTGATGTTGTTGTCTTGGGAACTGGCGATGTGTAGAAAGTGGCGAGACCCCAGTGGCGAACCCCTGGGTTCATCTGGGGGTCGCGCTTCCTTATCTTGGGTGGCATGGGTGGAAGGGCCATCCCAGCCTGGTTTCCTGACCTTGACCAAGTATTTTCTTTGCTGAAGCTTTAACGATCTGGTCTGATCACCCCTAATTACTCATCTTATTTGATGTTCTATTTTCTTGTTATTCTTTTCAGGCCTGGAGAAGTATTGTGTGCCGGGCTTCACGTGCATTATCTCATTTATATTATTTCCTGCTTCTGAGTGTTTGGCGGCCGTGAAATACATGGCAAAACAACTGAGCCTGGCGCTTGTTTTTCTCAAGTTAAGGGTCCCTCTTTCCTCCCATTACTCCTGGTTCACACAGCTTCCACAGCCTGTTTCTGTCCTGGTCACCCTATGTCTGTGCAGGTGTGCGCTTTGTCGGCGTTCCTTTTAATGTGATGCCCGGCCTGGGAATGACACTCCGTGTGTGCTGGGAACAACGCAGCGTAGCACCGTTACCCAGAAATGAGCCGACACTCCTTTAATCCGGGACACGTGGGGCAGCGCTCATTTCCAGCTGCATCTTCACACCAGCCCAGCCGACACCACTGCCCTCCCCCCGCCCGTTGTCTTCTCACTTTTACTGCTGGGAGGCAGAGGTGGCTGTTGTGCAGTGGATTTTTTTGATCCTAAGAGCAAAACTTTACATTTCCCCAAACCTATTTTGCCCAGTCTTTACCTTGGGGACTTGCAGAGTTATTACAGCAGAACTGTGTGAATGGGAGGCTAGAATAATTCTGATGCAAGAAATTGCTGAGTGGAGGATTTTTTTTTTTTTTAATGGTATGTTAGGATTGGCTCAGTTAATAGGAAAATCCTTCTCTGATTACCTTTCCTAGGGTACTTTCATTGGTAATTTCTAGTTCATTCGGCTTTTCTGGTTTGTTTTAGAGTCATTTTTAGCATCAACAATTATATAGATTAAAAGAATGAAATGAGTGTTAAGTCTCTTTGGGGAGCTCAGTACCTCAGTCTGTTGGCTGGTTTATAATCACGGGTCCTCTGTGGGCCTTTGAACGCACCAGCTCGCCGCATCATTCACAAGGGATATTTCAAGGGTTTTAACTGCACCTTTCTGTCTGCTGCAGTTACCTGGCTGAGCAGTGCTGGAATGGCGGTTTTATCTACTTGATCATGCTGCGTCGCTTCAAGCACAAAGTCCATTCTCCTTATAATGGCAACAGTAGCAACAGCTCTGAACCAGGAGAGACGCCTACCTTGGAGCTGGGTGATCGAACTGTGAAAAAGGGGAAAAGAACAAGGAAGTTTGGAGTCATTTCCAGGCCTTCTACCCACAAGGCCACTGAAGAATCCAAGAGCAGCACTGGCTGTGAGCTGGACAATGACCCCATCTCTGAGCTGGACAATGGCCCAGACCGTGAACTTGGCAATGGTCATGCCTTTGAGCTAGAAAATGGCCCAGATTCGCTCAAGGAGGTGGCTGGATCCCATCTAGACAGGTCAGAAGTGGACAAAGGAACAGAGCACAGAGTTCCAAAAACAGATGCTCCTCTGCCCACAAGCAATGACAAACGCCACTTCTCAAAATCGGGGAAGACAGACTTCCAATCAAGTGACTGCTTGGCACGGGTAAGGTCTTGTTTGATTATAGAACCTGAGTTTTTAAAGTAATATTGTTTAAGTTGCTTTTAAAGTTTAGTAAATATGTCTAAGACGACCTTGCATTTAGAAGCCAACACATATATTAAGATGAATGATCAGAGGACCTAGCAATAACAACCAAAAAGTCCAAGTCATTTTATCCTAGTTAAATAAAGAGTGAGTCGAGTGATCATAAGTGGAAAATTCAAGCCTTCTGTGGTATAATTTGAGTCATCTGAAGCCCAGATGAAGTACTTGAACTGCATCATTATTTATCACTGCTGTCACCAGGGGACTTGCCACTGCAAGGCCAAGAATTCCTGGTGGCAGTTGATAGCATAAACATCCAAGCCTCGGTATTGCACAGGAAGGATGTCCAACACGCAGGGAAGCATCTGCTTTTATTTTTAACACTTCAAAACCAGGGACATTTTCATGGGATCATGTTATTATATTGCTGAATTCCAGCGAAGTTTAGAAACTTCACAAAAATCTCTGATGCTATAATATCCAGCTGTGATGGTCAGGGCCGGTCCTACTACCTAAAGGCAAAGCAGATGTGGTGTATTCCGAATGGTGGGGGGTGTGCTTCCAGCCACAGATCGTCTTCCCCGTGATAACCAACACTCGCTCATCAAGTTGCATTTCTTTAGGATAAACATGTTCTTTCCAAGAATCCTCTTGGCAGATACTGCTATGGATTCTTCATGAAGCAGTAGCTTCCCAAGTGGTTCCTGACTGGTGTCTTCTGTGACTCAGGAGTCGCTGCTAGGGATAAAAGAGAAAGTTGGAAAGGTAGAAAATGGGCCTAGGGGGAAGTATACTGTTCCTCTTTGCTGGGAAGTGGAGCCCTGTGAGGGAATGTAATTTTTAAAGGCTTCTTTTACGCACATTTCTGCAGTGGTAGCCAATCTGTATAATGGGTTGAGAAGAATCAAAATAACCTCTTAGAGGGCCATGTTTTTTCATTGGAGGAGCTAGGGGATCATCTTAAAGCCTCACACTAAGGAGGCATCTTTGTAGATGGATGTGTAAACAGATAGAAAGAAAAACTAATGTCTCTATCAGTGATTTTTCTAACAAGTTATGCTCCCCCAAAAGAGGATTAAAGAAAAAAACAATTTTAATGTTCCCCCAGCCCCCCCTCCCAAATTAAAGCCAGTAAGAAAACAGCCCTGCCCTGGCCGGGTGGATCAGTTGGTCAGAGTGTCGTCCTGCACACCAAAAAGTTGCGGGTTCAGTCATTGGTCAGGGTGCACATGGTAGGCAACTAGTCAATGCTTCTCTCTCTCTCTCTCTCTCTCTCTCTCTCGCTCTCTCTCTCTCTCTCTCTCTCCCCCTCCCCCCCCTCCACACTCAATTATTTATCCTCCAGTGGGGATTAAAATATTATTATTAATTCATATGAAAAGAATCCTTAGTGTTCCTAGACCCCCAAAATAACCTACTAAGTCATACCAAACAGCACATACAATCTAAAATAACACTAGTAGTAAAAGCAGTGCTGCCCTTGCTGGTCAGGGTGCACGCTGCCCACTGTAAGGCTGCCTGAAGAACAGACGCTGGACACTATTTTCACTTTTTGCTTTTTCTCATAAAAGCAAAAATCCTCTTTGGATTTCCTTCAGTTACTGAAAACAGGTCTACTGTAAGTCTTTTGTAAAAACACAGTGGCGTGACACAAACTTCCGAAAAGCGGGTAATATCTATATTATTATGTGTCCCTTATCCATGGATACTATATCTTGATGTGATTTTCCCCCCTCATGATTAGATTGTAAATACACAGAAAGTCTGAGGGGGAAAAAATTAAGTTAGGGAATATTGACATCCTTAATACTTTTGAAGGTTTCAGGTACAAAAGGTTTAAGTTGACTGTCACACATGATTTAAACAGTATACTTTCATTTGTTGTAGCATAAGTGGAAATAATTTGGAGTGATTTTAAAAGAAAAAAAAACATCAAACTTTTGAAGTACCATCCTCTGCTTATCTTAATTAAAGGCAATAACATAAAATTGAATTTCTGGATTAAACTTTCTGAAAACTGCACTTAGTAAGTACCTGATTTTTGTGTTCAAGGTCAAATGTCCAAAAAATCTAAATGAAATGGTGAAATAAAAACCAATTGCCTGTGGGGCATTTTTTAAAAAGCCACGTGCCTGTAGAAAGAAGAAACTTGCCATCTGGAATTTGCATTCTTCATCATTGTCTGTAATCCATAGACTGATTATTGACTTAAGGTCCGGCACAGTTGAATGGGCCACACACCTTCTTAGACACAAATATTCTAGCATCTTTTTCAATCCCAGAAGTGTCATCATTAGATGCATTTATCCAAAATTGATACAGTTGGCAAGCAGTGGCTTCTCCCCACATCCAGGTGGTACCCAAATTGGAACCAGTAGGTCTTCACAGAAAATTATTCTGTCCTTGAGCTGAGTGGATTTCTATTTTTACTCCAGGATGAGCCAAAGTCATGCTAAAATGGAATCTCCAGGGGGAAAAAAAATTATTTACCTTTTAAGACTTTTGGTGGAAAAAATTCCATTCCATTTGAATAATGGGAGATTGAACATGACAGCATTGTTCTGTTTCTGCTTTATTAATGATTTAACGTATCTACAAAGCCTTAATAAATTGCAGGAAATGCTTGTAATGATCGTTCAGACCAATTTTATCAGATGCTTCTTTTTCACAGACTGTCACTTGTTACATGATTTTATATTCTGTTCTTCCTTAACAGAGCTATAGGAAGATATTTCCTCTAACAAATATCTTTAAAAAAAAAAAAAACCACCAGTGTGGTTCTATAAAATATTAACACATAATGATAGGTATGCAACCAGATTAAAAACTTGGGCCTATCATCCAAAACATAATAATCTCCTAGGACACAGATAAGCAGTTCTAGAAATGCATTCAGTATTACTTACTCCCTGTCATCGAAGGTGACAGTTTTTGTGAGCGTGTTTAGATACACGTGTGTTTTCGTAATGCTGCACAGTGCAAATGTATGCAAACAAAGGCAGTCACACAACAAAGAAAAACAGTCCCACCATTTGCCAGGCAGGGGAGTGTGTTCACTAATGGCACACGTGTCTGTGGGTGCCTTTGTGGTCTGACCCTGCTACTGGTAACCTGCCCTATGCAGTGCCAGACCTCTCCCCTGGGCCTTTAGCAGAAACCTCAGGAAGGTCTGAATCTGCAGGAAAAGATCAGAAGCTCAGGAGATTGACACTCAGGACAACTGCTGGGTGGTCCCTGATGGTTGCAACAAGCAAATGCAACATCAGGATGGTCCTCTTCTATCTGTTCACTGAGCGAACTTGGGTCCTCCTGTGTGGGAATGTCTCCTAAGTCCATGCCTGCACCTTTGCCTGAGCCTTGAGTTTCCACCACCTGCCTATAGGATGTTGCCACGTTGGCTGTTGCACATCATGCCTAAAACTCGATGCATCACTCGCCCATAGCACCGAGCCTGCTCCAGGGTTCCAGGACTCAGCAGCCCCAAGCTGTCCAAACTGCAACCCCGAGAGTTAGCTCATGACTCCTCGTCCTGATTTGCCCAAAGCTTTCCCTGGTTTTGCACTGAAAATCCCATGTCCTGGGAAATGCCTTTATCCCAAGTTGGTGTCCTCTAGGTAACTGAATTGCTACCCTCTCTCTTAAACCATGTCCATGCAATCACCAAGCCCTGTCAACGCCTGCTCCCTTTAAGACCTCCCTGACCACCCTACTTCTCTTTCCCCCCCTCCCACAACTTCAGGTCAGGGCCAGGCTGCCTTCCTGCCTCATCTGGGTGGCCCCAGTAGTCTCCTGCCCATCTCAGTGCCCCCACTCTAACGCCATCATCCGCCGTCCCACACAACCAGCGAGACCCTTCTGAAGGGCAGATGTCACCACGCCTGTGCTGGCATACCCGCGTAGACTGCTGCTTAAACCCTTTTGACAGGTCCACGTCGCCTTCGGGGTAACAAACACGTTGGCTTGCAAAGCGCGTGAGGCCTAGTATTATCCAGTCGCTCTTTAACCTTCTGCCTCCCTGATTTGGGCTGAATTATAGTTTTGTTTTTTGTTTTTCAAAAGTCTGTGCTCTTGCCTCTGATTTTTGGCAGATGCTGCTCTCGCTATCCTGTGTTCTCCCCTCCCCAGAGTAGCTTAGCTTCCGCCTTTCCTGGGGGACTGAGCACCATGGCACCCTCTCAAGGAGGCTTCCATAACATCCCTGTCACCTGCCCCCACCTTCAGGCCTCTCTTCTCGGGGCTCCTGCAGGACCCCTGCTCATCTTCATCAATGCATGAATCCCACATATACCGAACAGCATTGGGCTGTGTGTCCGCAGTAGACTTTAAGGGCGAGGACCTTATTTGTCTTTCTGTCCTAACTCAGGGCCTTGCACTTGCAGGTGCTCTGTAGCTATTCATTAGTAAAGGCACCCAGGAGCACCAGGCCTGACAGGTGGACATCAAGTTCCAAGCCTGGCTCTCTCGTCCCAGCTCCTTTGGGCTGCGGTGTCCTTTCTCTGAGCTTCTGTCTTCTCACCTATAAACTGAGCATTTGGGCCTGATGACAAAGGGACTGCAACTTTGACATTACGATCACACACTTCTTCATAGCTTACGGATTATTCTAAATAAGGAGGGATAAGCACACAGTCTCAGAATAGGTTTACAACTAGAGCCAGGGCATTTACTGCAGTGAAATTCTAGTTGGATGATACATCTTCTCACATTTGGAGCCAAGACGCTGTTGTGAAATTTTATTTTTGGTTCCAGAAGAGGATGAGGTCCTTTAAATGCTGTGGAGACAGCTCCCTTCAATGTGCCCCCGCTGTTTGGTAAATAAGTCCCTTTGTTGGCTTCCGCAGAGAGAGGCGTGTGTGCACTCACAGAGTCACCGACACTCTGTGGCAAAGTCCGCGCTCGCATGGGTACAGAGGTCCATAGTGTCCATGTCTGTGTGGCTTGGCTTTTTCTCCACAGACTGACAAAGCCTCCTTGCCCTTTAAGCCCATGTAAAGGGAACCAAAGCCTGAGCCATCTGTCTAGACGGAATCTGCTCCAGAACGCAGTTGTGTCTACAACTGGATCAGCGTTCACATGCTAAACGTTGGCAAACATGCAGGTCTCCCATCTGAGCGAGCCTCTTTAATGCCAGTCTCAGTAACTTCTGAAGAACCGTAAGATTCGTGGATAAACATCTTACAGCTGTTAATTTCATGGCATTTACGCATATTGTTATATACCAGGGACAGTTCTAGTCACTAGAGAACCCGCTGCACAGGGCTGGATCACAAAGGGTCACGTACGCCATTGCCAAGAGCTGGCCTCATCCGAAGTCTAGTGGAGAACTGTGGAAAGGTTTAAGCTGAGGGCATCGTGACGTGTCTTTTTAAAGTTCACCCTCGATGTGTAATAGAGAGTGGTGAGTTGGAGGAGGTGGAGAATCAAAAAGGAAGACCCAGCTGGACGCTATGGTGATAACCCAAGCTAAAGATGCTTGTGGCTTTGACAAGGGTGGTGGCAGGGGTGAGGAGCAGGAGGAGGTGGGTGTGGGTCTATGTTGCAGGTAGAGCTTATAGATCTTGCTCATGGTTTGGGTCTGACTTTTGGGCTGTATATCCTCTTCATCTTGAGTAGATGATAGTATTTTCTCCCACTGAGATGGGAAAGCCTAGAGGGGGACGGGGAGAGTCCTGTTTTGAGCATGCTGAGGCATGTATCGGATACCCAAGTGGAATTGTAAGGAGGCAGTTGGAAATAATATTATCATATTTTAGTTGGCCAGCTGGTTTTTGGCCAGTACCAGCTTTAGCCAAATAAACTTCAAACATTGACTTTATTTTTAATCGAGCACTGCTTTCAGCTATAGGCAGATAAATTTAATACCACACTGACAGTTGTACAATTGAGACTGATAACATCTGCCCCTTCCTGTTTGTGCCTTCCTTTGTGTACCTCCGAGCTTGTGATTAGATGACCAAGAAATTCCAAGGCACGGAAACTTGCATTAATTTCTGTGAACTCTCTCCTTATAGTTCCTACTTCCAACTGTGGGGGAAAAAAGTGTTCTTGGATAAAAGTGAAAAATGATATGTTTCTTGACTAGTATAGATGGGGGCTATACTACACATGGGTCATTTCTGCCCTCCAAAGCCATTTTTGTTAGATACATGTTTCGTTTTGTTTTTAACTTGTGTGTGTTTGGGGCGGGGGCAGGGCTATGGAGTGGCGATGTGGGTGCTTTTAACTACAACTGTCTGTGTCAGAGTGTACATTAGGGCATTATTCTTTCCCACTGATCATAGTTTTGCATGTTTCTTGTCACAAGTCCTATATCTACAAGTATTTAAATATTATAAAGGACCATATCTAGTATTGGCACACCATCTAGGATCCATACTTAACCTGTTTAACAAGAAGGATAGGACGGGGGTGGGAGGGAGGGACTGGGAGGAATGGCGGTGTAACTAGTAATGGGGATGGATAGTCCTTTACTCACTGGGTGAAAACCTAATGGGTTTCCTTATTTCTAGACTCTACTAACGTGCCCTGCTGCTCTTGGGAAAGAGTCCCACAGCTTTGCTCACCGGGAGAGGGGAGATCATTGTCCCACACCTTTAAGGCTCTGGGAGCCATTGGCACATCTTCCAAGGAAAAAGCAAATCAGGCCACCATCTGCTCTAGTTTGTCAACTGCGTCATGAGGCCCAGGGAGGCAGCCACAGCCCGCCCCATGTGCTCGTGTGAGGTGCCCAACGAGATGCGACAAGAGAGAATCGGCTGTCCCCAAGTGGGTTCCCATGGGGCCGCCCTCTGGCCACCAGGAGCTCTGCTGGCCTGGAAGTGGCGAGAGTTGCCATTGTGGCAGTAGCGTTGATTCTCAGGGACGGCCCCTTGAATTAGTGGAGCTCAGTGAGCTGTCGAAGGCCAGGGACTGCTTCTGAATGGGGAAGAGAGAAAGGTGTTCCAGGGGTCAGAGGCAACAAACCAGAAACCGGGGATCCTGAGGGGGACGATTGGATGAATTAGAGATCGTTGACAAGTTCATGAACTACTGTGGTAAGCCAGCGACTTCTGAAGTTACATTTGGCCAGACAGGCTTCATGTGTCTGTGGTGAGCGGATGAAGGAGACAGTTGGCACCTACTGCGTGTTGCTGGGGTGATAGAGCCCCACCGAGCAGCGTGGTACCAGGGATACTTAGGATCCAACAGGTCTCTGTCTGGTAATAATTTCCCCAGACATTCCTGTTGCTGTGCATCAGTGACCGTTCAACATCTGGTTTTTTTACTATTGCATAAAGCCTCATTTTCATTTCTGACAGAGTGTATTTCAGATTTTCTAAGTGCTTCACATTCTTTCTCTTTTGCAAGCAGCCTGAATGGGCAGGTTGCCTATTTCTAGGAGGGTGATGGCTTTGTTCATGTTGGGCCTTAACGGTTCCGTTGGACCTTCATGATGAGGTCATGGATGAGGAAAGCAGATGGCTCTTGTTTTAAATGTTGGAGAATGCATTGTGATCCACATTCCCCATGGACCTAGACCTGCAAAGACCAATAGGGGTGGTCCTAAATAAGACTCAAAATAAACCACTTTGGAAGGTTTTGCTTTCATTTCTCTGAATCGCTCAGTAGCTGAGGGAACTCGAGAATTTCCCAGTGGGCCTATGTTTGTGTCCTTGGAGTGAAATGGAGGGGGCAGTGGAGAAGGAACTGAACCAGAAAGGCCACCAGCAGTCTGGAGGACTTACAGGCATTTCTTAGTTTTAAAAAGGATACATTTTGTTGAGGCATTTTTTAGTGTATTGAAAGAGTGTACAGACCAACGTCTGTAAGAAGTCGATAACAAATTCATCAGCTAATTTACTGTTTGGGTTTCTCCCGCCAAAGATCTCATTTAAATGGTTTAAGGAAGTTTGAGGTTCAATTCAATATGATGTTTTTAACATATATTCATATGATACATATTATAAGGAATATATGGTTACCTATCAACATTTATTAGGTACATAGAATAGGGAATTAGATGTTGGGAACATTGCCACCTGTTTCCAGAAATATCTCACTTAACTCTAACAACAAACCGGGAGTAGTAATAATTATCCCAACTTGAGAGGCAAAGAAACTGATGTGTTTAGGCCTCGGGTGACTTTCAGGAGTACAAAGCAGCCAAGCTGGGCTCCAACAGCTGAAGTCTGGCGCCAGGACGAGGCTTAGTTTCCCTTTCGTCTTCCCTATGCATTAGTAGCCATGTGCACAATGGTATCGAGGTTTCAGGCAGAAGAAGCATCACTTAGCAGGACCCTGCTCAGGGATCAATAATTACCCTTTCTGTGCTGTCTAGTATCAGCCACTAGCCCATAGGTGGCTATTTAGTTAAAATTAAATAAAGTGAAAAATTCAATGTGTCAGTTGCCAGTCACCTTTCAGGCACTGGATAGCTACCTGTAGCTGTGACTCCATATTGATTGGATCGTGCAAATATAGAACATTCCCATCTTCAGAGGACATTCTGTTGGACAGCACTGCCAGCTAGACTTGGTTGGGTTCAACCGCACAGGCCGTGCGTCTGTCTCTGTTCTTCATAGTGTGCTCACTTTTTCTTCCAAGGAGGAAGTCGGCCGGATATGGAAGCTGGAGCTGCTTAAAGAATCGGATGGGCTGGGAATTCAGGTTAGTGGAGGCCGAGGATCAAAGCGCTCACCTCACGCTATCGTTGTCACTCAAGTGAAGGAAGGAGGTGCCGCTCACAGGTGACTAGTTAACTCTCTCCCTTTCTCTTTCTCCTCGTCCTCTCCCCTCCCTGCCCCTGGGTGCTAGGACTCTCCCCCTTGGTCAAAACACTGGTAATTACAGCTCACAAGGACTGTGCTGAGCACAGAGGCACGTGGGCCGGAGCCGTTCTAATTAAACCTACCTCTGAGCACAGGAAGTAGCTAATTGCTGGAGATGCTGCAGACTCCGCCAAACCATGTAGGAGCACTGGGATTTCTTTCTGGCCCACTTTGAGTTTCAAACGAATGTTGCTTATCCTCTGTTTGGAATGCTGGTAATATGCGGTTATTTATCAGGACTGTGCCTCGCAAACGAATACCACATTCCTGACATCCAAACTCCCAGAAGACGGTGGCTAATGACTTGGCAAAGCGATTGGTTTTAAATACGACCACAGCTCACGTTGGGTGTCAGGCTTCTAACACACTTATATATGTGTGTCTCTGACCTGCAGATGCAGAGGGGAAAAAAAGTAAATGAATCTTTCTCCTTGTGCCTTGAAAACAATTCATACCTCAAAATTTATTTTCCAGTCTGAACAATTATCTGAAATAGGAAGAGTGACTGTACTTAGGCAGAGCTTGTACAAAGAAGTCTATTTGGAGTTATAGGGATATAGTGGTCCCAATATACAAAGTGGGCTCTTGTCATGCCTGCTAATTGCTTCTGTGCACAGTAAGTCCTCGCTTAGCATCAGTAGGTGCTGCAGCTTTACAAAAAACAATGCATAAGAAGACCAGTTTTACTGTAGGCAAATTGTCATAGACAAGAGTTAAATTTCTACATCATCTCGTAAACATGGTAATGAAACAACGTTGGATGAAATGTTATCCAAGGACCTACTGTACATAAGGCGTCTACTGTTTTCAAAGCACGGTGGGGCGTGTACATATGTTACACGCCCCCATATGTACAGTAGACACATAAAGGTCGAGTTCCACTGATGAGGAAAGTGAATACAGTCTGGAACTCATAGGGTTCAAGCCAGGCACCCTGATACGAAGGGAGGCGTGGCAAACCAGAGCAGCGCCGGCCCACCCAAGGGGGAGCGGGCACTCAGAAACGTACCTCGTGTGGCGGAGCAGCAGGAGCTGGAGGGTATGCAAGTCTGAAGAACGGAAGAGTAGGCGAGAGCCGGGGCACACACTGTCCAAGTGTTTCACGCCCATCAGTCCTCTAACTAGAGGTAGGAGGCTCACCACTGGAGGAGAGAGGAGATTAACTACACTTGTCAGTCATCTGTGTGGCAGGCACTGTTGAAGGACGACGACCTCCGATAGGTTTTATCCACCGGAGCATCAGTCCACGTCCTGGGTGACGCACGCTTTAAGGGCCTCCCACTAGGTAGCCGTTTTCCCCCCAACCCCAGGTCTTACATTCTTAGTCTGACTTTGGGAGGTTGGCAATTAGGAAATTCCTGCGCCCAGAGGTGAGCTCACATAGAGCGGTTCTTGTCTGTTTTCTCTGTGAGTCGTTTATTGTCAGTCCCGTGTTTCTTTTCACCCTTAGCAGGGAGTTGTATGTGCGCGTCTCTCCCCTGGGGTGTATAGCTCACATGGGGGTCAACCACAGGGGGAGAGCAAGATGGAATGAAGGAGGGGAACAAATAAAGAGATGGGGACGGGATGGCCTTGATGGTGCTGTGGTGAAGCAAACCCAGCGACACCGGCCAGAACCGTTGCATGCGCCCTTCTCCCCTGATCCCTCTCCCCGGGACTGGCCCAGCACGCGGCTCCTTGAGGTTCTGGGCATTTGTTCCCTGTGGTTTGTGCTGTGCTTGTCCTGTTCCCCCTCTCCTTCCATTCCAAGCAGCTAGTGGGGTCCTTAGCGTTTCTCCGTAGGAGCTTTTGAAGAACAGAAGCAGAGGCACTCGGAAGTCTTTGGTGCTCCTTGTCTTCTGTTAAGGCCTGAATCCGTAGAGGAGAGTCTGATGCTTGCCCTAGAGGAAGGAGATGGGGAGAGGAACGGGCGAGGGGGGGAAAGCGGGAGAGAAGTTGGTTGATCCGTAGAAAGGAAGCAGGGGGAAAAGGTCCACAGGTTGGAGAGAAACAGATTTGGGTGGGCTAGGACTGCTGGGGACATGCATGTATCCCAGGGCGCACCCTGGGTGCTAATCCAAAGCCAAATCCAAAAACAGAGGGGGAGATGGAACTCTAGGCACAGGGTTTCCCAGCCTCACCAGGTTTCCTGTCCCGTACTTAGCAATGGAGATGAAAAGCCTTTGGTGCCTTTGGGAGACCAGACCCTTGGAGGCTCCGTTGGAATGCACTGACTGTGGGTGCGCCCTGAATGAAGGGCCCTGCCCAGCGCTCTGGCGGGTGCCTCCCCAGACCCTCGACCCATCCTAGGGGAGCCAGTTCCCATGACCACTGGCTCTCCTGCCAGTCCTGGGAAGGAAGGTCCGAGCCAGCTGCAATTTCATTGAAAGGAAATTAAAAAAAAAAAAAAAAAAAAAAAAAAAGCACAATGTGTTTGTGCACCTGTGTTTGTAGACCAGGTCTGATACCTGCAACAACAATAAATGAGCTTCTTTGTTCCTTTTTGTGTTCATCCTTCTGCTGAGGAAGCTTAGCTGTAGGGGCACAGGAATGAAAAGGGGCTGAAAGACTTGAGGTCCTGCAACTCTGTGGGATTATATAGACTCAAGGTCCTATACCTGTGGGGGCGGGGCAGGGGGTTGGACAGACACATGCCTTGTGGTGTCCCAGGTGCCACAGAGGAAATCGGGCCAACGGCGTGTCACCTGGCAGCACGGGGGCATGGGGTAGAGAAGGCTTCCTGGACAGCTTAGGGTGCCCTCACTCTCTGGGCTCAGCTCACTGAATCAGCTGAGGACCAAGTCACAAGGGAAGGCGGGCAGGGCAGATCGAGAAAAGGATGACTTGACTCCTAAAACCTTGTGCCTCTATAGTTGTCTCCACCCGATGGGACATTTCATTGCCATGAATGCCAGGTGTCGTAGGGATCCCTTAAGTATGTGCCTATTACAAGGTGACCGCCTAAAATGATGGAGCATTTCACACCTCTGAGCCAGAGCAAAGAATAAAGCTTTCCCATCCCAGCAATGGCTGGCCGTCCCATCCCGACTTCCTCTTTGGCTTGGTGGTAACCGCTCCCTGGCACAACCCTCCCAGCTCCAGGAAAATATCCTCTCTCAAGCCCAGCATGACTTGACAGGGAATTTCTTCCCATCTCCGTTTCCTCAGGGATGGCAGACTGTCCTTAGGAGACGAGCTGCTGGTAATCAATGGCCACTTACTGGTCGGGCTGTCCCACGAGGAAGCTGTGGCCATTCTTCGCTCAGCCACGGGAATGGTTCAGCTGGTCGTGGCCAGCAAGGTAGGTAGTTGGTTTTCTTTGTCGTTGTTATATTTCCAAAGGTGGTGGTGAACTTGGAGCCCTCTGCACACACGGTTCCCTTAGGCCATTTTAACAGCCGCAATAATACAGCACAAGGCCCACGAGGGGGCCCTTAGCTGGAGTGCAGTGTATTTTGCTTTCTTTTAAGGTTATTTAGAAGGTATATTTAGAAGATAGAAAAAGAGTAAGACTAAGGAAAAGGTAAGAATGGTAGGGTGGGAGGAAGGAGAAGATGGCGAGAGCAGCAGCTCGCCCAGGGGAGAAAGGGAAGAAGAGATGTGGAGCCCACAGGGCCACATGGGTGCGAGCCGTGCGGAGGCGCCACCTTCCAGGTCCTGGAGGGAGGGAGCCCTGACTGACGGCCTCACACAGAGTCGGTGCTGCCGGAGAGCTTGTGCGTGTCACCCTCTCCCCTTCTCCCTCCTCAGTCTTATACAGGAGACAGTGAGGCGGAGCTTCTTGGTGGCTCCCCTCTCGTGGTGGCCTGCATGCCATCCAGGGTCTGGGTGCACAGCCAGTGTCTGTCCCCTCCCTCTGTGGCTGCCTCCTCTTCACGAGGCCTCCCGCTGGGGTCCCCGGCGTGCGTTAAGGCCGTGCTGATGTCCGGGGGCCCCAGCATCTGCCTCCTCCCCGGGTTTCGCCAGCCTTAGGGCTCTGGGTGAAGGCGGCAGGGCCCCACGGCTGCGTGATGAGGAGGAGCGGGGGCTGGGCTCTCCTGGTTCTCTCCGCTGTCTCATCGTGCGGAGCGGGAGGCGAGGAAAGAGCCCCCGCGACTGAGGAGCTGGGGGAGTGTCGCCACAGCAAGGCTTCAGCCCCGTCCATCCCAGGTGGTCCCACGTGCAGTCCAGGGCGGAATTGGTGTGAGCATTGTGCTCTTGCCAGTATGGCCACTTCCCCCCATTTTCCCTGTTGTTATTCTTGATCCTGGCATCCACAGGGTTTTATATACAGGGTGGGGGAAAAGTAGGTTTACAGGCGTTCCTATGGAAAATAATACAATAATTAATAATTCAAGAATAGCCCCGACCAGGTGGTTCAGTTGGTTGCAGTGTTGTCCTGTATACCAGAAGGGTTGCAGGTTTGATCCCCAGTTGGGGTGTGTATTATGGAAGGCAACCAATCAACCAATCAGTGTTTCTCTCTCACACCAATGTTTCTTCCTCTCTCTCTCTCTCTCTCTCTCTCTCAAGCAATAAAAACATATCCTTGGGTGAGGATTAAAAAATAAAATTAAAAAAACAACAATACAAGAATAAACTCTGTTTCACGCGCTCACAACTATAAACCTATGTTTGCCCCACACTGTATTTCTGCTCTTAGGTTGCAGCATCTATTGCCTATTCTTGGAGTATTTATTAAATAGACTGAAGGAATATTTTAATATTTTTAGCTACCTGAAAAATCTGCTTCCCTCCCTTCATATAGCATTTACCCCAAACCCCTGACCTAGACTCTCCGGCTTCCAGCAAGAGTGCGGAGCCTTGGGAAAGAGTTGGCAGAAGGAGTTGGCATCCAGGCACTGGAGGGAGAAATGGAGACACTCTCCATTCCCAGGCCCCTCCTCCACTTCCGCAGATGCTGTGGGGCAGCCTGGCATCTCCTCACGAGGCTCGGGGAGGGGGAGCGCAGCCCGGGATGTTCTCAGCCAGCCTAGAGAACTCCACAAGGAGGGAAACACGTTCGTCATTTGACCAGAAGGGCTGGGAGTTTGAAAAGCATTATCCGATCGATCGCGCGCGCGCACACACACACATCCCCCACCCCCCACCCACTCCACCCTCCCCTATGTTTGCACATCCCACCTCCCCAATGTCTATGGCCTAAGAACCCAGAATTTTCTACACAGGCATATACTCTGGCCACCAAACTGGAAGTTCTATGACAACTTTTTTCACCTGATAGTTTGGAAAGTGGGAAAGAGGAAATCTATGTCAGGTCATCATCCAAAAACACATGGACACACAGAAAACATAAACTAAAAACAAAAACAGGCCACTTGTCGGTAAAACTAATAATTAAGGGGCACACATGGGATTGTGAAAGCAGGTTTTGATGCCTGACCTACAATTTCACGCACTGACTTAAGGGGAGAAAGGACACTGATAAGTATCAGGTGCCCACTGAGTGCCAGGTGCTTCTTATCTATCATCACATTTAGCTCTTAAAATAATTCCCATGGGACCGGTATTAGTTCTTTTTACTCAAAGGATGAAATTAAAATCTAAGTGATTAATCAATTTGCCCAGAGGTCACACAAGTAGTGGGTGGCAGAAGCAGGTTTCATCCGGGGTCCCATGTCCTAACCCAAGGTGTCCCTCAGTCAAATAAGGTACAAAGGACACTAGCGCTAATGATACTGGAAAAGGTCATGTGTTCCTGCCACTGGCTTTGACTTGTGGGACACTTGCTGGGGTCTTTGTAGGGCTGAGCTGCAGCCCAGAGCCAAAGAATGGTGTCTATTTTAGTTCTCGGTCCCCAGACTCTTGGCCACCAGCACTGAGCTGTAGCCCTAAAGCTGACTGAAAGGAGCGATGCCTGTCACTTCTTCCCGTGCGCTCTGCTTACGGCTGGGCAGTCCTCTGCGGCAGCTGCTGCCTCCTCCTCCTTCCTCAGCTTCGTCTGCACCGTCTGGGCGCTCATCCTCGGAGGGGAGAAAAGAAGTCACTCTCTAGGCGCCTCGTGCCATCTGTTCCCCTTCCTTATCCGACAAGAGCAAGCAGTCCAGGGGCTTTGGTTTCATAGTTGTGACTAGAGGGAAGAAAGAGCTTTGACTTGCTGAATATAAGGAATAATAAAAATGTAAATTATTATTATCGATAACAGTCACCTCATCACAAAACTTTAAGCCATTGTTTTAGAAATACAACAGTCACATCTTCGGGAGAGTGTATCTCATGTTTCCACACAAATATGTTGTTTGGTTATAGGAGCTTAGGAAGTTTTCGTTGAATGAATGAAATCAGAAAATCCATGTTTGCTTTGATGTTCCTTGAAAGTACATATGTAGCAATTAGCAATACAGATTTCTCTTGTGCTTTTTTTTTCACTCTCAGTTTTTATTAACAAGTAATGTGTACTTACTACATCTAATGTAGAAACCCCAGGAAAAAATAGAGGAAAAAGAAGATAAAATTTTTGTAATACCACCTTCAGCACTGACTATTAACTGATGTGTCCCTCCAGACTGGAACACACATGTGTGTTTACACATGTCACATGTATGTGTGCCATATGTACACATGTGTCATTAAATGGCATCTCACACACATAATGATGTGTATATGTGTGGCGTACATGTGTGCCATGTGTACACACACACGTCATTAAATGGAATTAAACAGAAGGAGACAGAGTGCACCTGGACCCAAGCACCAGCACAGCCCTGGACAAGCTGTGTATCTTCAGCCACTTGCTACATTTTTCTAAAACTCAGTGTTCTCGTCTGTACATTGAGAATCATGGGCTGTTAGGAAGATTAAGTGAGATGCAAATGGGTCTGAACAATGTAGCTGTTTACAACAATGTTTACCTTTATGATTATCTTGTATTATTACATTTATTATTCATACAGTTACTGTGTATTATTTTTTTAACCTACTTTTTTGCTAAACAGCATACTGTATATAAGAATCTTTCCACATCAGGAAGTACATTGCTACAGCACCATTTATTTAGTTTTATTTTTTAATTACAGTTTACATTCACCATTATTTTGCATGAGTTTCAGGTGTACAACCTGGTGGTTTGACAACCATACTTCAACAGTTGTCCCGCCAACATTGCCCGCGCTCAGCGGGCACCGCGCTCAGCGGTGACGACGTCGCTGACTGTGTTCCCTGTGCGGTACTTGACATCCCTGGACCCTTTGCTGCAGCACCGTTTTTTATGACCGTGATGTGTTCTATCCTGTGGCTGTGGTGCAATTTACACACCGCTAGGACCTTCCCAACTTTTTTTTAACTCTCTCCTGTTAATGGTCTAGCAGAGTTGACATCACAGAGGAACACTGAACTCACTTTTTTTAGCAGCTCTTTTTCGCTTCCGTCAGTAGGGGCTAACAGTGTAGTATTTGCAATTGCTGACCTGAAGTGTGTGAACTTCAGGTACCTTGAAGGTGGAACCCGCATCCAACGTCACTGTCACCAGGTGCCTCCGCAGTAATAGTTTGTCCATGGTTTAAGATGGTTATTTTTGTTGTTCTCTTTTCTGTCTGTTCCCAAGGGATATGATCATCAGAGTTGTCCACACGTGTGCTGCCTTGTAGAAATGGCTGGTGTGGGAGAATGCAGAGAGCACACAGGCTCTTTGTTCTGGCCTCAGACCAGCCCTGCGGCCCTGGTCCCTGGCCTCGTGGACCGCAGCACTTCCCGGGAGCGCCCCCAGCTGCTGTGTGGGCCTCCTTTGCAGTTGGGATTGTCATGTGGCCCTACGATCTCGCCTGCGTGTCACAGCCCACTCTGACCTTATCTGTGTGTAGGAAGGCCTGTGTTGATGAAGGCCCCTTTATTTTTTATTCTTTAAAATATGTACATTCCTCGTTAACACACAAACGTGTGACACACACAAAAAGAAAAACGCTCATGTAAAAGGCCCTGTCAGCAAAGAGTAGACAGGAAACATCTACACTAAATCAAGTAAGGCTCCTGCTTTAAAAATTGGGTTTACCAGCTATACCTGGATATGAGCAAGCCCGTTGCAAAGGAAAGGAGAGGGAAAAAAAAGAAAATGAGAAGTCCCTGCACTGAAGAAATATATGCATGGGGCTAATTTACTACATCACAGATCCATAATTAGGGAATGTTTAAGCCCTCTTATATATTCAGAATTCATCAGGGCTTTATAAAATGTGTGCTTGGGAGAAGGGGGGGGGAAAAATTTACCTGTTCTCCTTCTTAGAAAATAGTGTCAAGAGCCCTCTAAAAACGAGAGACCAGCAAACCACCAAAAGTTTGGGAAGTGTTACCATTCAACTCAAAGGGTGTATAGAACGGAGAGTGCAAAAGCCAGAGAGCAGTGGGAGAGGAAGCCCCCTTTAGAGTCTAATCATAATGGAGTCTGGTTCCGTATGTTTTTGTTGACGTTGTAAAGTTACATCCTGAAAGCAAGACGGGAGGACATCAAAGGAACCTAAGTTCAGGGACCTCGGATTGTTTGTAGCAACACTCATCTAAGAAACAGATTCTTCAGAGGGGGGAAAATTCGTTTGGCCTTGAACTGGGTCTACACCCCTGACATTTGAGGTAACCTAGCAAGCCTGGAAATGCAGAACATCCATTGAGTATAGTCTTTGGGTTGGGAGCACACGTGACCACCCACAGCTGGCTCTGCTCGCTTTTCCTTGACCTTGACCTAGAACTGCCAGTGCCATCGGGTAATCTGTGGGCTTTAATTGTGTTCCCATAGGAAACCTCTGCAGAGGACCTCCTGAGATTAACATCGAAGAGTTTGCCTGATCTGACCAGCTCGGTAGAGGACGTGTCCTCTTGGACTGACAACGAAGACCAGGAGCCAGACGGGGAAGAGGACGAAGGAACTGGCCCGTCTTCCATCCAGGGAGCGGTAAGTGCGCCTGTGGTCCCTGGCTGCTCTGATGGAGTGAGGTCCTCCTGAAGATGGCGGTGTCAGGCTCAGGGATAAAAGCTCAAGGGAGTATGACAGAGATCAGAGTTGGGAAGGACCACAGAGCATTCTTCGTGTTTATTATTTTTTTTGTCAGAATCTTCCAGAAAGACCTATGGGGGTAATGCTTTTCATATAAGAAAAAACATTGAAACTGGAAACAGGATAAGAGCAACTGGGTATGAAGGTCAGTGAGTATACCAACTTCTAGGATGCTTAATAACATATGCAAGGATTTTATTGCCACTCTGGATAGGGTGTTTGAAAAGTATTGTTCGTGAATTTAAACTTAGACATTCCTGGTTGAGAGTGGAATGCTAAAATAACACAAAACTTGTTCATGCAGAATTGTACAGAGAGGTGTTAAGTTTTTAATCAGACGAGGACTCTCTGGGGCTCGCAGCTCTTCCTGCCACAGCCTGGGATGCCTCGCGCCCTCACGGGCTGCTCTCGCGCACAGTCAGCGGGGCTTCTGGTGACCTGCGGTTGCCGTCGGGCTCCATGCTCTCTGCTTGGTATCCCAGACCTGAGAGATGTGTCATTTTTAGTGTAAGCTCTTTTTTTAAAATATATTTTATTGATTATGCTATTATAGTTGTCCCAATTATTCCCCCTTTGCCCCCTCCAAGCGGTACCCCCATTCCTTCTAGCAGTCCCCTGCTAGTTCATGTCCACGGGTCATGCATATAAGTTTTTCGGCTTCTCCATTGCCTCTACTGTTCTCAACATACTCCTGTCTGTTTTGTACCTACTAATTTGTACTTCTAATGCCCTGTACTTTTCCCCCATTCTCTCCCTTCTCCTGCCCAACTGATAACCCTCCAAATGATCTCCATAACTATGGTTCTGTTCCTGTTCTGCTTGTTTGCTTAGTTTGTTATTTGGATTCAATTATTGGTAGTTGTGGACGTATTGCCATTTTAATGTTCATTATTTTGATTTTCTTCTTTTTCTTATATAATTCCCTTTAGCATTTCATATAATAAAGTCTTGGTGATGATGAACTCCTTTAGTTTTCCTTTGTCTAGGAAGCACTTTATCTGCCCTTCCATTCTAAATGATAGCTTTGCTGGATAGAGTAGTCTTGGATGTAGGTCCTCGCTTTTCATCACTTTGAATACTTCTTGCCAGTCCCTTGTAGCCTGCAAAATTCCTTTTGAGAAATCAGCTGACAGTATCATGGGAACTTTGTAGCTAACTCTCTGCTTTTCTCTTGCTGCTTTTAAGATTCTCTCTTTATCTTTAACCTTTGGCATTTTAATTATGACGTGTCTTGGAGTGGGCCTCTTTGGGTCCATCTTGTTAGGGACTCTCTGTGCTTCCTGGACTTGTATGTCTATTTCCTTCACCAAATTACAGAAATTTTCTTTCACTATTTTTTCAAATAAGTTTTCAATTTCTTGCTCTTCCTTTTCCCCTTCTGGCATCTCTATGATTTGGTTGTTCATACATTTAAAGATGTCCCAGAGGTTCCTAAGCCTATCCTCGTTTTTTTTAGTTCTTTTCTTTTCCTACTGTTCTGATTGAATGCTTTTTTTCCTTTCCTTTTGTTCCAAATCATTGATTTGATTCTCAGCTTCATCCCCTCCACTATTGATTCCCTGTGGATTTTTCTTTATTTCACTTAATGGAACCTTCATTTCTGTTTGGGTCTTTTTTATGCTGTTGCAGTACCCAATGAGTTCTCTGAGCATCCTGATAACCAGTGTTTTAAACAGGGCATCTGATAGGTGGCTTATCTCCATTTCATTTTGTTCTTTTTCTAGAGTTTCGTTCTGTTCTTTCATTTGGGTCATATTTCTTTGTCTCCTTAATTTGGCAGCACCCGCCCCCTCCTGCCCTGTTTGTTTCTGTGTATTAGGTAAAGCTGCTTTGACTCCCTTAGTAGCGTGGCCTATTGTAGAGAAGCACCCCTGTTAAGTTATATGGGGCAGAGCCTAAGGAATTCACCAGGGCAGGCTGATCCATTTCACCGCTCTGGTGCTCTGCGTGGGGGAGGGCTCGCAGAGGGGCCAGAGGACGTCTTGCCCCCTCTGGCCTCTGGAGTTTTGCCTGGGAGGATGCTGTCTCCCAGCACTTGCGCTGATGCCAGTCGCTTCACTTTTTCCCCATATGCTGCTTGTACCCTTCCAGCTGTTGCCCTGGTGCTGAATCCCAGAGAGGGTGGTTCTACAGAAGCCCTAAGTTCATTGCTGGCCCTTTAAGTGGAGTCTCAAGAATCCTGCAGTTTCTGCCACCACCCCGACCCCTACTAGTTTTTGTAGCCAGAAGTTTTGGGGACTTATCTTCCTGGCAGTGGAACCCTGGACTGAGTGGTCTGCTCTGGGGCTGGGGTTCCTTGCTCTGAGGTATCCCTCCCAATTTTTATCCACCACACATGGGTGTGGGACCACCCATTCACATCTCCGTGCCTCTCCGCATCACTCTGACCTCCACACCTCTCCGCGCGTCTCACTGCGACCGCACCTCTGCCCATCTCTGCCTCTCTGCCACTCCTACCTGTCTGGAGGAGTGTGGCTTCTTTAAGTCCTTGGATATCAGACATCCACACAGCTTGATTTCCTGAAAATTCTGGGTGATAGCTGTTTTGTATTCTGGTAGTATTTTTGGTATAGTTGTGCATGGAGGCGAGGTGTGTTTACCTATGCCTCCATCTTGACTGGAAGGCCAGCGCGAACTCTTGTTAGCCTTTGTTCCCCTTCCAACCAGCCACGGAAAGGGTGCTGACTCTCTGCCATTTGGAGCCCCTTGGACCAGCTTGGTCAAAGGTTTCCTCCAGAGAGGTTTTACTGATTTAAACTTCGAGCAGTGCCCAGTTCCCATCATCACCAATGGCATTACCTTTAAAAAAAATTACCAGTTACTCACATAGGGTTTTATATGCTATACTCTAGTTTTTCCAAAGGAATTTGAATGCATTCTGTCCAACACACTTTATTTTCAGAACTTTGGGTGGCCTTTAAGGAGAAACGAGTGCCTCTCAGCACTAATTCTGCACGAGTGCACGTGTTCCGCTGCTATGTCTGGGGTTCTTGGCCTCGTCACCCTGGCTGTGACACACAAACCTCAAAGCCATTATTGCGAGTGGAGAAACCACAATGGATGATCCTGCTCTGACAGTTCCCCTTTCTCTGTGCCTTGGAGATTCCCTCATCTCACTTCTCCTTCTGCTCCACCCCCTCACAAAGCACTTAGAGGAAGGGACACCCAGGCTTCTTCCTGGGCTCCTTCCCGGGCTCACCACCCACACCTGAACACCCGTCCTTTGTTGGCCATTCTGTTGAGGCCTAGTTGCAACCAGGAGAACCGGGCCTGAGACAGAGCCCCGCAAGGCCAGGAGAGGGGCAGCGGACACAAGGCGTCTTCCGGATATCACAGTCTACCCAGGGTTTGCCCTCTGTGCCTTGGAAAGGTGCTGAACTGTTGAGGAAAAAATTCTCTCTCTCTCTCTCTCTCTCTCTCTCTTTCTCTCTTTCTCTCTCCCTCTCCCTCTCCCTCCCTCTCTCAGTTCTTCTTTACAATCCAAGACTCTTTGTTTTGTCATTTTTAAACACTAATGAACCACCTTAAATGAAAGAAACCTGGTACTGTTTAGTCAGCTAGGTTACCAAGCCATTTATTTCACAGATGAGACTGATTAAACCTGCTGCCAAATTCCACTCAGACATTGACTGGTTATGCACCTGCAAGCGGTGGTGTGCTCCAAGCACTTAGGCTGAGCAAATGTAATACAAATGCTAAGGACCTGCCAGGAGCACCCTTATGATTTATTTTTCATGGCTACAATAAACTACAATGAGATTTTCCTTTCAAAAAGCTCCAGTCGTGCTTAGGCTAAAACCATATGGTGAATATCAAGTTTGAGGAATAGAGGCAGGAAACGGCGATGGGATGGCGAAATTGCAGTCATCTGCGTGATTGTCATGCATCTCGGTGGGGTCTGGCTTCCGTGGCAGGGCTCTCTCCCCGCCGCCCCCAGCTCACCCCGCGTTGAGGACCGCCCGCTTGCTGTCCGGAATGTCCGAAGCCCCACTCTTTCCCACACACCCTCTGCGGCCCTGGGCCCCCTGACTGGCCATCCTTCCTCAGGTCTCCCTGCTCCACGTGGTCTCCTGCTCCGCAATGACAATTTTTAAATGAGAGTCTGGCCGCCGTTAACAGTGTAAAATCATTCAGCAGCTCTCAATCACACTGAGGTTAAAATCCCAGCTCCTTAACAGGGGCTGCCATCCGTTCCAGCCCACCTGGCCATCTTCTCTCCTGTATGTGCTCCCAGGAGCCCTACGCACATGCACACACACACACACACACACACACACACACACACACACGTGCCCACACGCACACACAGCCCCCTCGTGGCACTGTGAGCTCCACATTCCTCAGGCTACTACTTTGTGCTTTTGCACCTGCTCATTCTTTCTACCTAGAAGACCTCCTCTGCCTGGCAAGGTCATTGTCAACCCAGGCCAGCGTCACTTCTCCCTATCAGCAAGCCTTTCCCTGACTCCAGAGTTCTCTGCTCTGTGCTCTGGGCTTACAGAGTGTGCTCTGTGGCGCTTTCTGTCACAGCGTTTACCATCTTGTCTTCATGAATTATCTTTCTACTGTTCTGTCGTCCTCATTAGATACACACATTTCAAGGGCAAAGACCATGCCACCAAAGCACCTCTCTATCCATAGCACAGTACAATGCCAGGGGTGGAAGGAAGGGGAGGGATCCTCTGTGATCTCCTGTCATTCCTTGACCACCTCTGGTCCTTCCCTGGGGGACCAGAAGCTCCCCTGGTCCATATGCCCTTGAGGTACAAGCCCGGGTCCCCAGGCTCTGACTCCTCTGCTTCCCTCCTCTTGCCCCCGCCCTTGCCCTGCCTGGGCCCCTCTTCATCTGCCCCTGCCTCTCCCACCAGGTAGGTGCCCACACTCGGGGGCATGGCAGC